TCAGCTGCTAAAAAAAGGTGTGAAAGAGATGGGTGATCGCTCCTATATCTCCAAATAAATGCTCCTGAAGATATTTGCCAGCCATCAGTACCCTGAGTTTGTGGCAGGATTTTCCCAGGAATTCACTATGCTGAAAATGCAACTCCTTTACCTGGTACCTCCGTGTTTCCGAGATGGGGTTTGTTCTGCATCAGTCAGAGATGATGACTTTAGAAATAAGTTTTAATGGATGAAAATATAAAGGTCTTTAGCTGTGTAAGATGACTTTTAATTAAAACTCTACAATCCTGGGTTGAAATGAGCCCACAGAGAACGTTATAAATCTCTGCATGCTGGTAGTCTGCTGGGCTGGAGTTGAAGCTGAGGACAGACACATAATCCTCCACAAATAATTAGAGCACAAAATGCTTCTAATCTTTGTTAGTCCGGTTGTGTCATTTGATCTAATAATAAACTAGACATTAAAAAAAAAAAGCCCTCCTCATACATTTTAATTCAGACGGCCATGGACATCTTTTAACCTGTAATTGTTTTGCTGGGCTGCTTTGAAGCTGATGTTCCTCCTTCCCTCTGTTTCGATTTATGCATATGCTGCACTGAGTTAAGGAGTCCGAATCGCCGCTGTCCTCTGGCTGTGTAAGCCCCAAGGTGTCCGGACATGGGCGCTGACTTACAAACCTTTTCAGCATGAACTTGACTTTGCACAGACGCTTGGGTTTCACAGGTGCCCTGCGGTGAGGGCTGTCACACCGCTCTCTCGGGCAGCTCCAGGACAGTTCTCACCCCTCTCACCTTACCAACCTCTTCCTAAACACAGGCACCTCGCAGGATCCCCACAGTCCCCATTCCCCAGACCTCTCTTTCGCCTCTTTCCCAGATGCAGCGCAGCCCTCGGACACCCCCCGCCATCACCAGCTCCTCTCCCACTACCACCTTCACCTCATCCCACCTCCCCAACCACCCCGCGACAGAAGAAGCCCTCAGGACCTCGCCCAGCCGCATTTATTAATTAAACTCATTAACCCCACGAGCGGCCCCGTTCACCGGGCCGTTATTTATCGACACCCCCGCCTCAGGGCAGCGCCGCCTCAGGGCCCCCGAGCGCTATGGCGGGGTCGCCATGGCAACGGCCGCGCCTCCGCCCGCCTCACGCCGCCGGCAGCGAGCGGCCCGCGGCGGCTCCGCGCAACTTCGGCGCTGCCCTGGCGAAGGAGGAGGAATAATAATAAAAAGAAGAAGAAGAGGAGGAGGAGGAAGAAGAAGAGGGGAGGCTGCCGGCGCCCGGCGGGACGGAGGTGGAACAGCTCGAAGCGGGGCTGGGGTCGCCACGCGCCCGCTGTGAGGGACGGGGCGGCGGGGACGGGGACGGGGACGCTGCCGGGAGGGCTCGGGGGCGGCGAGCTGCGAGCCTTTCCCCTTCATGCGGGCTCAGCCACGAGTTCGGGAGAGCCCTCACAGTTTTGGGGGCTCTGTGGGGTCTTTAACCGGGTGCCGAAGCCCGCCCGAGGGCAGGGGTGCTGCGTGGCAGGCGGCCGCGGCTGTGTGGGGTGAGGGGGGAGCCCCCGGGCGGTGCCGTGCTGCTGGCAGCACAGCTGTCGCCCCTCGTCACCAGGCCTAATCCGTCCCCGATGCGGGCTGAAGTTTGCCGTGCCAGCTCTGAGGGCTTGACTTCGAGCCGCGTCCTCCTCCGGGCACCCTCCTGGCCCCGGCTGCCCACACAGGAGCTGCTGCAGAAGGTGAGCCTGGGGGGTGGGCAGGGAGGGGCTGGGGCGCTCCCGCGTCTCCCCAAACCTGGGCTCAGCCCTGGCGCCTCGGGGTTATGGGAAGAGGGGGCAGAAAGGTCAGGCACCTGTCCCAGGAGGTGTCTTCGGTGGTAAGCCGGGCATCTAGCAACCCCACCTGCTATCACTGAGGTCAGGCAGGCAGCTGTGGGTTTATGGATGTGTAACCGAGAGCTGACTGTGCTTTGCGTCCATTAATGCTCCCACAGAAGTTAAAATCTGTCTCGAGACAGCGCTGTTCGGTGCTGCTGTCTGCAGGCGTGCTGCAGGCAGGGCATTCACGGGCTGCAAAGGGAAAAGTGAGCTTCCCCAGAGCACTGCTGTGTGTGGTTTCAGAGCCTGTGCTGGAAGTGGTTTCTTTGAAGAGAGGCTTAACTTCTCGTATGGTAAGCTTAGCATTCATCCTTTGGATGCTAATTTTAAAACAATGTGCGCTTTTAAGGAATTCCTATCACCAGGACCCAACTTGAACAGTGATCTTTGTATTCCTCAGAACAGGGAAAGCTCCCACATAGGTTGACATTTCCTCAGTGAATTGAGGCAGAGTGAGACTTAGAGCCTGTCCTGTACATATTCTTCCTGATGGATGCTGTAACCACAGTTCATGACTGATCAGAAATGTACAGGTGCCTGTTAAAATGTATTCTGACATTATAATGTGATGTGTTACTCTTGCTTTCTGAGCAGAATCAGGATGGAGAACACACATCTTGCCCACGTATTTTCACAGCACTTAGTCTGGTTAGTCTGGTCTATGGCACAACATATGAATTAAAAAACAAAACTACTTCAGTGGATGTGGCAACAGGTGAATTTGTGTTTGGGTCTGAGTTTCAAGCTCTCCCTTTTATATAATTCTATAGCTGTATGTATCTGCTGTGAACAACAGCATGGGGAACTCCTCGGTTTGTGACGTTAGTGCCCATTTAATAACGTTGTGTAGTTACAGTAAGAGCAGACTAGGGAAGGATGAGCTGGGGATCTCTGAGTTTTATTTTTGAAAACCTTTTATGTTGGAGCCTTGCATCATGCCTGTTGCTGATTTATTGCAGCATTTTGTGGTTTATGTAATTTTAATAACAGGAAAGCTACGTGCCTTTGTTACTTTCTGAACTCTCACTTACATGGCTGGTGAAGAATACTTCGTGTCCCTCTGCCCTCGTTGGAAACCTGACTTTGTAGTCTGCAGAGATCAAAGTGAGATACAGAACTGAAGGTGTGTTTGATCCAGCACAGCAAGATAGCGATATCTGAGAAAAACATAGGAGTTCTAATAACAAGTTAGGCAAACAGAGCAAATCGGTGTGTTTCCAGCTTCCCGGCTTCGGTAGGCTTAAGTAACAGCCTCGTGTAAGTTGCATATGGCAGTGTTTGTGTGGTTAGTATTAGAAAACATTGTTTAAAAGCATGAGTGGGAATTTGGCACGAATGTAGGCCTGGTTCTCCGCAGATGGAACTCATTTGCGCTGATAAGAAGACAAACTGTAAAATGCTACTATGCTTCGTAAGCAGATTTGGGTTACACCCACCCCTTTGCTTCTGCAGATAACAGGCAGATTATCTCTGTACAGAGTCCCAGCCATTAGTGGAGCTCCAGGCTATTGGGCTCTTCCTTCACTTTTTCTTTAAGATCTGTAGATTGGATTTTCATCTGGAGTTAATCAACACAGCTCTTTTATTTATTGCAGTGAGGCAAATCTGTTTTATATTAGTCCAGCACTACTGAAGATTATGGAGCTGTACCAGTTTGGATCACCTCCCGTTTCTGCTCGTGTTTTGACTAGTGATTGAAAAACACCTTTCTCATTCATACCTGAGCTTGGAGCCCAGCTCATGCTGAATTCATGGTTCTTCACCCCGCAGATACAAAATGCACCAGATACCTGTTTTCTAAAAGATTGTAGTCCTGAGAAGAGATTACAGATGACACAAATGCTGGGGAGGTAAAAGCAGTATTTTTAACATGTCCTCAATTGTAATGAGCCTCATTATTAAAAAAATTAAAAATAAAACTAAAAAACTTGAGAGCAACTAGCTGTAGAAAATGTGACATAACCATTGTAGTGTCTTCAGACTCAAGCTTTCTTCTCATAGAAATGGCACCACTTCTATTTCTGTTTTGTCTTGCAGCACCACATGCTAGGCTCTGGCTGTCCTGTTACACTGCCTAATGGTGACTTTTCACAGCAGAGCACGTTCACAAACAGCTCAAGTGACTCATGACTCTATGGCAATTGCACCTGACAAAGAGCCAGGCCACTTCTATGATGCTGAAATGCCACGTCTGATGGAGAAAAAAATAATATAGGATACAAAAATTAGGCTGTATGCAAGTGCTGGCTGGGGGCTGCAGCGCCCTGTCCCATACAGCTCGCTCTCTCACACTACTGCGAGCCTCTTCTGCCTGTCCCTAAACACCTGCAGCCACAGACATGACAGCAAATACTGTTTGATTAAAGTCTTGGCTTGATCCCCTACACTTGTTATTCAAAATGCCCTGCTACTTCAGACAGGGTTGTGGCTCTGGATGTGTTTTAACCGCTGTGAAAATCCTTGGGCTGTAAGTAGCTGGTGTCCATCAGGAGGAGGACAGGTGTGCTCATGAAGCCAAATTCACCTTCTCCTGCTGCGGTTGGCACACAGGTCCCCAAGCATCCCTGGGAGTCCTCTCTCCTTATCCTGCGGGTCAAGATGAGGAATGCTGCTGCATTAAAAACATGATATTTGCATGGCTTTTAAGCTTCTTCATTGAAAAGCTCCGTGTGCTGCTTTTTCAGCATTAATTGCCTCATAGCAGCTTTGGGAGATAGATGTGGGCTCTCAGGCTGAGGCTGTAGTAATTTCCACTGAGATTACAATCGCACAGCAAGTAGCTGTAAACACGGACCCTCCCATGTCGCTGAACAATAAGGCAGCCTCCAGCCAGATAGGAAATAGGGTTCTTTGGGCCCTGCTAGAGTAAAAGTCCCTGTATGGAGAGGGTAACAACATGAAACTGCAGAAAAGCAACAGCACAGAAGTTCTTACAGAGTTCAGGTGGGCTACACAAATAAAGCTGGGAAGGTGTTGGCAACAGTTTCTTGATTAGAACTTGCTGAGAGCCTTTGCTTAGAGCAAAGTTAAATATCCTTTTCATGGGAGAAATAGCACTGGGGTTCATCTGTGACACTGTCCCTGCTCGGTATCTCATGCAGGTACAGGCAGCAGCACAGCCACGGCCACAGATTCTGCCCGAAAGCTGGTTAAATGCCGCCTCGGGTAGCACCTGGGGACCTCAGAGCTGGCTGTAGTCAAACCAGCTTTAACCTACCTCTGTGCTGCAGTCCAGAGAGATGCTTAGATGCCCTTGCTGTCCAGAGGACACTGAGCTTCTGCCTTTTCTGGATAACATAATTCAATCTTTACCAAAGAAGCAAATTAAAAAATAATTAATTGTAGTAGAGTGCTCCACTGTTTCACATTCCGTTTTCCCTGTAGCTGCATCTCCTTAAAACAGCACAATCATAAGGACAGCTTGGGGATGGGCCTTGCCCCTCTTCTTCTAGAAATCATTTTCCTTGTAACCCTCTGATCTGGCGCGTGGAGAGAGGTTGGGTGGGCATCCTGCATGAACAAACCCCATCTCCCTGCTCTGTGACTCCAGTCGTAAGGAGCTGCCACCCACGAGATGGGGGGGAAGGCATTTCCCTGCTCCCCAGCCCGGTGTGTCAGTACGCTCTGCCTGGGTGACAGCGGATTTCCCGGGACTATCTATAGCCAGCGGAGTGGCAGCTTTTCCACTGATGTCACCCAACCTTGGATTAGGCTCCTACCCATCCAGCCCCTTAAGTCCTGTCCCACTGTGCTCTGACACGACTGCTGAGAGTCACTAGGGACTGTCAGCAGTCCTCCTGGAGCGGCAGACTGTAAAGGCAAAGCACAGGAGAGTTACCAAACTGAGAACACAGCTTTATAGAGACAAACTACATTCTCGCTTTGTCATAAATAAGCATTTCCCACCCTCTGGCTACTCCTTTCCTGTTCTGGAGGGCTGTGGAAGCTGGGAACCAGGAGTGTTAATGGAAAGGAGTTTTATTTTACTTATTTTTTATTCAGAAGTTTATTTTCTAGCATGGCAAACAGGTCCTGCTGATTGACTCACGGTTTACCAGAGAGCAGCCCTGCTGTAACAAGTCCTAGCAGGTGGTGATCTGGCCTGCAAGAGCCGAAAAGAGGCTGATATCTGTCAGGTTCCAGGAGCAGCCTCCAGCTGGCAGAATAGCCAGAGATCAAGCTATGGAAACATTCCCTTTTCTACTAAAAGAGCCAGGAAAACCTGAAATCCTGTTATGGGAAGGTGAGAAACCCAACGAGGCCTGGGGATGCCGATACTTGTGCTGATCCTTTGGTACATTCTCTGGAGCAAGAAGAGAAAATCGCAGGGGGAAATATGGGAGAAGGTAAAGAAGGGGAAGATGGGGAGAAATTACACAGAACGTGTTGTGGGGAGGGATTGGAGGAAGCTGTAAAGTATGTGGGAAGGAGAGACATGTAGAGTTGTTGCCAACGTGGAGAACAAAAATGAGATTTGGAGAGGCAGAAAGCTTCTTTAAAGCTGAAAGGAAACTTCTACATGAAGAAAGTCTGAGGTACTCACTAACAATCCCTAAAAATAGAAGAAAGGCTGCGTGTGAGAGGGAAAGTGAGGTATTCCAGGCTTCGGTGTAACTTAAGGTGAACGGATGCTTAAAGTCCTGCAGGGTGCTCGGCCAGGCTTGCAGTAACGGTGTGAGGGAAGGGTTGTCCTGGGGTGGAGTCACCGAGGCAAAAATCTTGAAACCTAGAGCTGCTCCTGGAGTGGGACTGCCATGAACCACTCGGGAATTCTCCTACATAGCACCTGAGGAGCTCCTCAGGTGCAGGATAACCTGCTATGAGGAGCCAGAAAACTGACCAATTTCAGGACAAGGAAGGTCTGTGTTCAGATGGGGCTGTGTCTCTGGCCTTTTAATAATTTTGACATGAATGCTCGCAAAGCTTAAAGCTGTCCTTTTCCCCAAAGAAGGTCAGGCTGAAACTTTTGCCATCCCTCGGTTGCCCACATCCTGCCAACAGTCCTTTGAGCCTTTCTATTAGAAGAGCCATTTCGAGTCATTTAATGATTAGCCTGCATCTGAACTTTAAATTGAAACCAGCAGCTGCAATTAATGGAGCCCATGCTACCTTCTGCAGGCTGCAACGGCCAGCAGGGGAAAGAGTGGAGGCTTGTCAGGCCTGCTAAGTAGAGGTGGCCGGCTTCCAGCTCTCAAAAGGAGGAGGTGATGGATGAGAGAGGGGGAAGGAAACAATCTCATACAAACAAGGCTCCCTTAGGGACAGCCAGCACAAGCTGCCACCGTGCATGAAATGCTTGGACAGGATTTTCCTTCGTTTGAGGACTGGCCATTTCCATTCCATTCCATTTATCCCTGGAAGTCTTTAAAAGACGTTTAGATGTAAAGCTTAGGGATATGGTTTAGTGGGGACTGTTAGTGTTAGGTCAGAGGTTGGACTCGATGATCTTGAGGTCTCTTCCAACCTAGAAATTCTGTGATTCTGTGATTTCAGTTGCAGGTGAGATGCTTTTCTTGCTTTATATTGACCTCATGTGGAAGTAGATTTTCCAAATAATATATGGGAGACAAGAGCAAGCCCAGTTTGGAGTGGTATCTGTGTTTCAGTATCATCTTTGTTCTTTTCCAAAAGCAAGTCTGTTTGTGACTAGTGCTTTATGAAAGCTATGGGATACTGCAAAACGTGGGTCTGGCATGCCTTGCTCAAAGCGTCCAAAATGCTCTTCTAACTGACTGTCCTCAGCCATCAGCCAAACAGCTCTCCCCGGGCACAGCTGCTTTATTCAGGGAGCCCTACGGGGTGAAGCAACAAGGTAAAGGCAGTGGGAACACCGCAGGGCCCTGTGAAAGCCAGGAGTAAACTCAGAGCCCACGTCTCCTTGCTCTGCTTCCCAGTTCTCACCTCTAAACTCCCCTCTTCTATCGAAGCAGCTGGTGAGCTAGGAATCACTGGAAGGATGCTCTGCAGCTTCACAGCTACTGTGCTGCACACTGACTTGCCCCTAACTTGAGTCAGGTGGGCAGAGTTAAACCAGTGGCAGCCCAGTCACAGCCAGAAGAAAAGCAAAGGAATCCAACCTTTTGCTGGCAAATACAGCTGACAGGGTATGCTTTCCTTCACGCAGTGAAGGTGCAAGCAGAAATAAGAACGATACCTTAAGTGGTTAGATACCTGTAAAAGTTCACGATAAATGGCAGTTGTCACAAAGCTGAGAAATGGAAGCTTTAAAATCTGTTACAACAGCTTGTGGTCTGCTCTGCTGCTGCCTTCTGCTACCGATGTGACACACAGGGGGGTAACAGCAGTGACAAGGCTCTGAGGGTCTTCACCCTAATGCATAGTAGTGAGCAGAGGCCACCATGTGGCACGATCCGGGCACATTCAGATGGTGGCATTGTGGAGCTGGCGGTGTCAGCACACCAATTCCAGCCTCAGTTCATCCCTCCTGGCAAGCCGGCCAGCAGCAGCGATGATGTGAGGGCAAGAGAGCAGCAAGCTGGAGGTGCCTTGGTGGTGGAAGCAAAGAACAGGACCCGCTGCTCCTCCTCCTGCAGAGCACAGAAGCTGGACAGGAGCAGATTGCTTCCACCAAACGCTGGCTGGGGCTGGGATCATGAGGACAATCGGAGCTGATGCTCCAGGATGAAAACCAGTCGCTGTAGTGATCCCTCGTGTGTGGGCATTGTAAGCTAGCAAAGGAGTTAATGCTCATACACCCCCAGAAGGGTGCATGCAGCCTTACGCACCCAGATCTGTGTCCTCTGGAAATTTTCAGCCCTTTTCTGTCTTCCTTCTGAAGAAACCAGTGTTGCTTGCTGAGAGAGGGGAGATGTTGGACCAGAGAAACTTGTCCTTTGATGCATTTTGGCAAACCTTGTGATTGTAGAAAGGCCTAAGTGTTAAACCTTGAAATCCCTTCAAACATGGGGCACTGCACAGAGCAGCCAGGTTTGGGGAGCATTTTTCTTCAATGGTGCAACATATTTATATGACGTGAACATTTTTTGAAGGAGAACGAGGCTACATGACACTGAGTGGTACAGGTGCGAAAGCACCTGAAGCAGCCTTCTCACTCAGCGCGGATGGTGATGGGACGGCAGCTTAAAAGCATATTTTTCTCCTCTTCTGTCTGTCTGTGTGTCTGTCCCTCAGTAGCGAGGCACTGCCCTCACGTTAACTTGTGACACCCTGGCCTGACGGCGCTGCTGGCAGGAGCAGCCTCCTGGTGGTCCAGCTGCAGCCTGCCTCGTGCCACTCCTGCTCCCTGGGGCCGGCAGGGGGGGGAGCAGCGAGGCACGGAAGCGAGCTGCATGAAGAACCAGATGCTGTTCTGCTCCTGTCCTGGCCCTGGTGCCTGCGCTGGGCTCCGTTGTGTCGCAGCACAAGTACAATAGTTAATAACTTTGTTCCATGCATTGTCCTCTGGAAGTGGCTGCACAAAGGGGAGTTAATTCTCCTTTGGATGATCAGCACGGCTCTGCTGTGCCCAAGGTGCGTGTGCCAGCAGGGCTTCTGCTTGCAGAAACCTCCCTCTGCCTGCAGAAACGTGCCTGAAGCTCTTGTAGTTAGTGCAGCTCGCTAGCAGAGATGTCTCAAGGTGCTCAGCACCGCTGAGTTCTTCTAACCCAGCAGCGCTTCCAGGTGAACAACGGGCTCGAGGGGTGTGTGGGGGAGAAAGTTTTCAGCTGTGCTGGTGATGGCACTGCTTTTTTTTCTCTCCCTGCCTGCCCCCAGTTTGTTCCCAGCGAAGACACGCAGGGCGCCATGTCGCTGGCCTCCTGGTTCAGGTGGAACGAGCCCCCCAGCCGGATTTCCCAGAGGAACCCCGCCGAGATGGTGGTTGAGACGCTGATGATGGAGCTGAGCTGGCAGCTGAAGCAGGCGGAGAAGCAGCAGCGGGAGCGGGAGAATGAGTATCGCAAGATCAAGACTGGGGTGGACTACGGCTGGCTGGTCAGCTATCCAAAGCAGAGCTACGACATCAGCCCGGGAGAGAGGCTGCAGCTGGAGGATATGTGCACCAAAATACACCCCTCCTACTGTGGGCCTGTCATACTCAGGTACGGTGACAGATCTGATGATATTGACCTTTCCCTTCCCCTCTTTGTGGCACGGGAGGGGGAAGCAGGAGTTTTTAGGACCAACAGAGGCACCCCAGAGGGAGGTGCCTTTCCTCTTTTTGGGGCAGCTGTTCCACATTTAAGGGCACTCTGGCCAAGTTCTCCCCAGTTAAAGGCTTCTGGAAAGAGCGCTTGCCTTGGGTTTGTATAGCTTGGAGCTACGCCGTAAACAAGCCACTAAAACCCCGTGGGGTTCCAAGTAATTCTCAGCATCCCCAGGGCCACCGAGCAAGGCCTGTCTGGCAAACAGGAATTTCCATGAGAGCAGGCTGCAGGCACGGGAGCTGGGAGGCCCTGAGGATCTGAACTGCCTGCAGAAGAGAGCGGTAAGCTGAGCCATGTACAACTTGCTGCTTTTTTTATTTTTTTAACTGGGACAGGTCATGCAAGATGCTGAGTGCTTGTAATTTTCAATGAATGTCAGTGTGGCTTGTAGTGGTTGTTCCCTCTTGTTCAGGATTCAGGATATGGCTAAGAGCAGATAAACACAACAACGCTGAGGGGCCATGTGTGCATAACTGAAAAATCACAAAGCCATCCTGTTAAAAAGCCTCTTAGAAGATGCTCTGGTAGGCTCTCACAAACTGCGTGCCTCTATCATTCAAGAGGGGGCATCGTTTGTTCCATGCCACGCCGTTTGTGTGGTCAGCAGAGCCCCATGGAAGGAGGAGGCTTGAGTGCCTTTGTTTCAGTGCAGTGGTTGCAAAGGGAATGCCACGGCCACACAAATGGCAGAGCTGGCCTGGGGCAGGGGGCTGTTTGATCCAGATGCAGTGCAGGAGCTTCTGCAGAAAGAAAAGAAAACGAACAAGGCAAGCAGATCCAGCAGTGCGGGCGATCACAGGACCTCGTGACTAGCCGCTGACTCGCTGTGCCTTGCAGCTTGGAGGCTTTCGGAGCCTGACGTGGTCCTTCTGGCCGTAACTGCCCTATGTGGCTTCTTTTTCAGTAGTTTGTGGGTTGTTTTTTCCTGATTTGTTTTTGACCATGTAAACTTTTAGCGTTTGTGGCAGAGTTCCATGTCTGAGCTGTGGCTTTGCTGTGGAAAACTGTGTTTTGCTTGTCCTAAACTAACAGGCCCTGGTTTTATCTGCTAACCCCTTTTTCCTGTGTTGGAGAAATGAATGGTTGATCCCTCTTCTTCCCTGCCTCCTATCTGAGTGGCCGGCAGTTCAGGAAATGAAAAAGAAAGGGACTTGCCATGCTAGGAGCTGAAAAGGTGCAAGAGAAAAGAAGGAATGTGCAAGCTAGCTAGAAGACAGCCACAACTAGATCAGTTCTCTTCTCAGTGAGATAAAAGTGGAAGTTTTAGTAACTTGCCCCAAAGGTACAGGATGGGTATGATAGGAGTTTGACTGAAATCCTCAAATTTCCAATGATGTATTTTAATCACGAGGTCACCACACTTCTGATGTTTCTTCCTGAAATACCCCGTGACTTTGCAATACGTAGCAAGCTTTAGAAAAAACTTCCACCAAAAAAAAAATAATCTACAAACCTGGATTTGGGAATTTGGATGCAGAGTTTGTTCTACTTGTGTTGATCATGGTCTCCTTTGTGAGATTCTGAGCTAACAGTCAAAGCTAGAATAAAACAGTTTTGTATGAGTTGTCAGAGATGCCACTTCATTCTCCAAAGGAGTAAACAATTACCCAGATTGTCCTTTTGTGTGGCTACAGTCACATCTACGGAGAGCAGAGCTTCTATGGGTGTGGAAAAGACTGGAGACTTCTTAAGTGGAGTGTTTTTTCCAGGTCCAGTCAGCCTGTCCTGTAAGAGCTGTATTTTGAGTCAGTACAACTTTTACTTGAGCCTCTTCGAATTCTGCATTTGAAGGATTCAAATACCCTTTAAATACCATCACTTCTGCCATCAAATATCTGGAGGCACTGATTCACCTCACTGCAAATGAAACTGTTGGGTTCAGGAGTAACTTTAGCTTTAGGTGACTGGCTTGGAGATTGCTGATAATTTAAAATTAAATCCTGGGGTTGTTTGAAGGGAGTGACAGTGAGTTTGGTCAGGCTCTTTCTTGAGGATGATCAAGGGACTGGAACACCTCTCCTCTGAAGGCAGGCTGAGGGACTTGGGCTTGTTCAGCCTGGAGAAAAGAAGGCTCTGGGGAGACCTTAGGAACACGCTTACCTGTAGGCATGTCATTTAAGTCCAATGACTGGTACTGGATTTAACGGGCCTTTAAAGTTCAGGCTCTACTTAGGAAATGGTTGAACTGGGGACCCACAAAATAAGGTAGGCAAGTGACAGCACGTAAAAATAACAAAAATCAGCATAGTGGCAATAGGAGCCAAACGTAGCCACTCTTAAAATCTAACGGCTGTATGAGGAAACTGAAGGGTCACAACTTAAACAGATTTGTTTGCACTGTGACCGAAGCACAGCCGGACTGGAGAACCTCCCTGTGTGTGCATGTGCACGCTCCTCAGGTGTTGGTGCTGGCTCAGGGTGGCTTTTGTTGATCGTCACGTCTAAGATGTTGATGTTACACTCACACAACGTGTTACAGGATAGCTCCCAGGAGCATCACAACTTGTTTCACAAATAAGACAGACAGGCCTTCTGCTGTGATGAGTAAGGAACCCAGCTGATGGATTTTCAGATACAGTTGTGCAGTTGCCAAGTTCAGAACTACTCCACGCAGAAGCACAAGGGTGTTCCCCAGCGCTAGAGGGCAGGCAGCCCTTGTGCAATGCTGTGGGCTTGACCCCCCAGCAGCTGTGCGTGGCGTGCTTTTCCCAGCAGTGGTGTGCAGGGCACAGGCCCCACTCCTCCATGGCAGTGCTTTCATGCGCTGCGTGCTCTGGGAAAGCGCCCGTCCATGCTGCTGGGAAGTGTCTCTGGTGTGCAAAACCACCTGAACTTCGTACGTGGACTGTCCCTGACCCAGGCATGCTGGTCAGCGGGCACTAGCAGAGGGACAGAGTTCATCCCTCTGCAGGGGGAGGAAGGGGCCCCTTCTGTGTCATGGTGACAGTGGCTTTTCTGAGGGTGACTGGCAGATGGGCTTTGGGGTGGCTTTGTTTGGTTTTTAGACTTGCTCAAATCCGTATTAAGCAGCTCATGTGTCAGTCCTGGAGGGCCCAGAGGGAAATGTTAGTTGCAGAGCAGAGCTCACAGCGCGGTTCTCGCTGCCACAGCTAAGCAGAGCGCAAACAGGCAGATGGCTGAGAAGGTGGGAAGTTGCACTGACTTCAGAGCTTCAGCTACATCCACCGGTTAGTAGCACCACGGCGTGACAGAGCTCTGTGCTCAGGGGGTGCACTTACTGCATTACCACCCCTTTTTGTTCTTGTTCCCAGAGTTAGGTGCTGCTCCTTGCCGGCACGTGCTGCTGTCCGCTCTGGGGCCACAAGCCAGCAGTGTGACAGCCTCCACCACCAGAGGCTCTGCGGAGGCCTTCTGCGTGCAGAACGAAGAGGATGTACTGGTAGATGGATATAATATGACAGCAGCACTCTTTAAAATACACACGGAGGTAAAATAATGGGATGACTCATTCAGTTCACCTCTGCAATGAAAGCCCTCTGAGGATGCTTTCCCCAGTATAACAATAATGGTGTGGACGTGAGTTTTGATGGACTCATCTGTCTAAGTGCCTGAGTAGGATAAAGGGAAAGTGTATTTGTTGAGAGAACTGCGTTTGTGGCTCTGTGACAACGCCACTGAAGTGCTTCCTCAGGAGGCAGAAAGGGGGCCTGCAACGTACAGCAAGTCTCTGCCAGCACTGTCGTGGGTAACCCTCAGGATGGGGAGTGATGAGGGCTAGGGCGAGGCAGGTCAGGAACACATCCTGAGCAACTGCGATGGCCAGGGAACGTGGTGGTGACTTTGGCAGGCAATCCTCAGGTCCCGGAAGGGGCTGGTACCTCTGCTGATGCTGCTTCCTCAGCACCGTGCAGTGCTGGTCTCTCCACAGCTGTACACAATGCTGCCAGTACTTGCTGTGAGAGAACCAGCACGGAAATGCCTGGGCTATAGCATGGTGCTGGGAGAGGTGTCCAACACCAGCCCTCCACAGTGAGGGTCAAAAGGTGTAAACACACAGCGAATCTTTCTGTTACACCTTTGGCTTTCCTTCTGTCCTTGTTACCTTGGGTGTCCCTCGGTACCATTACCCAGTGCAAGTCCCTAGCGCGTTGAACTCCCTGGTGTATCCCTAGGGCTGATTGGAAATAAAACCAGAGGCGGGATCTTACTGGGATCTTACTCTATCAGCAGCTGTCTTATTAGGCTTATTTAACAGTCTCACTGTTTCCCATCATCATTCAGTTCTGTTAGAGAAAAATACCAGCACGCTTACAGACCTTGCACGCTTCAGCTTCCATTAGGTATAAATACCTGCCTTTTGGTGAAGTTGTAGCTTAGCTCTATTTGCGTATCAAATTGTTAAGAAGTGAATGCCGATCAGAAGACCAGCCCCGTTACCCTCTGTCATTAGCGTACGCTCTGAGAGAAGAGCAGGATATCTGCACAGCCAGTGCGGGAGCCTCGGGAGCTGGGGGCCAGGCGTCCAGAAGGGAACGCTTGCTTCTTGGCCCAGCCAGGGGCTCACTCCAAGACAACTGCCCTGCATCTCATCTTCCTCGCCTGCAAAAGAAACACTGGGAATTGTTCACTTCCCTCATATTGAGCTTAATGAATGTCCAAAATATGTATATATCTTCTGAGCTCTTTGCTGAGGAGGCACGGGAGTAATGGAGAGCTGTCTAATGAGATCCCGTACTGTGCTGCCAACCCGTGTGTTATCAGCAGAGCCACTGTTATCTTACAGACATCCCCAGGAAGACAAAATGCCATTTCGCCAAAATTTAAATATTGAGAAACAATCAAATGTATAACCAAGAAGTTTTATGGGGTAAGAGTCTGGCTAGTGGCCACTGGGTAATGCTATGGGGAAAGAGAATATGAAACATGGGAAGTCCGCTGGGACCTTCCCTGGTTTCTCCTCAGCTTCTGGTAAGCAGCAGTTCAGGCAGTATTGGAGCACGAATTTGCGTTTGGACAGTCGTGTTTAATCAGCACCGAGGGGGATGTTTTCCACAAACTCGTCTAGTTATTTTGTTCCTTATGCTGCTGATAGCACTGAGCTCTGATTTAAGAGGTGCTGTGTGAAAGGAGCACTTTCCGTTTCAAACGTGGCACCTTCCAGCTTTGTTTGTTGCTCCTTATTGCTTCTTGTGCCCGTGAGACAGAGTGATTCACTGCTTCCTTATATTCTCTGGCTTTCTTGTGATCTGGGAGACCTTGAGCACATCTCCATGGCTCCTCCCTGGTGTTGTGCTTGATCCAAGGAGCCCCGTTTGGCGAGAGCATGCAAGTGCCAAGCCTAGCGCTGTGACTTGGCAGCAAGCCCCGATTTGCTGTTTTTAATCAAAGCTGTGCCCTGACTGTGCTCGCAGGTTCCGGCAGCTCATTGCTGAATACGAGCCAGAAGTGCAGGAAGTGTCCCGGCTCTTCCGCTCTGCCCTGCAGGAAGTGGCTGAGAAGATCAAAGAGGAGGAAGAGGCCAAGAAGCTGGCCAGGCAGTGGAACACAAAGAACAAAACCAGCCTCTCCCTAACAACGTTTAAATCCCGGTCCAGGATTTCTCCGTTCATCAGCGACATCAAGACCATCTCTGAAGACGTGGAACGGGGCACCCAGCCCACCAGGAGGGTTTGGAGCATGCCCGAATTTCGGAACACCAAGGATTACTGACTCTGTACTGAACAAGGTTTTTAGACAGCAATCTTTCAAACTCCCGGTTAACCCTTTTTTAGCTCCACCATTTTTCTCTGTTCCAGCTCTCCCTTCCCATCCGTCTCTCCCAGAAGCTGTGACCATAGCAACTGCCGCTGACGCCCGTGGTGTGACAATTTCTGACTAAACACGCTGGCCTTCCCTTTAATTTAGTAGCACTCGGTAACCTTACGGGCAAGGCTCACTTACTGTCTCCTTTTTATTTCTGCTTCCTTGTGGAAAATGAATTAGTTCTGTGCTGTCTCTGCTCCCTCTCCCCACAGCCTGGATGTGGTTCCCTACTGGAGCTGTTGCCCTGAGCTGGTGAGCACTGCGGGCTGGAGCTGTCCTGCTGAAGGCAGGGAGGCTGCTTGCACGAGTAAGGCTTGCAAGATTTTGGGTTTGGGAGAGTAGAACTGAACTTTCTTTCCAGCTAAGAACTCTTCTGAGTGCTGCAGCAGACTTCACAGGTAAAGCCCAGCACTGCTCCTGATCAGCTTTTTGCTGACAATTAGCAATGCAGCCCAAGCAGAAAAAGAGCCAGGCTTTTTGAGAAGGGAGACCAGCTTTATCCACAGCAACTGGTCTGTGCGTGCTCAGGTTCCTTGGCTGTTTGCTCCCTTGTGCAGGCAGAACCCCTGAACCTTGCCCCTGCAGAGCGGACAGAAGCAGAGCACGAGGGGTACCTCGGTGCTGCATCACAAGCTGTCCTTGCCCCTTGGTGTGCCCTGCCCTGCCCCCCAGTAACAAGCCACGGGGCTGAGATTAATGGTTATGGCTAAATCTGAAAGTACTGATATCACCCAGGGGTGAAGGGAATCAGCACTCATCCAGGGCCCTCCTAGCACAGCTCAGATCACTTCAATATGCTGCTGCTGTGAGCAACTGAAGGGCTGTTCCCTCGGTCTTCTCCTGAGCACTCAGCTGAGAGCTTTCCTGTGTCACAGAGTGAGGTGGTACCGTGACAGAAGCAGCTTTAATGCAAACCCAGTAGTCTGTAGGCCAGCACCAGTTCTCCTGAGGCCTTGTGTAAACAAGAAAATGCCACTGAGGAGAGCTTACTGGGGTCCTAGTTCAGCATCCGCAGGGAAAACTCACCAGGAAAGGAAAGAGTGTCACAGAGTGACCTTCGTGGGTCCTGTAGAGAAGCCAAGGACTAGGAGGATGCTTTGTGGTGGCCAACAGGAGATGGGGAAGGAAGGAAGAGAGGAATCTCCCTGCGTGACTGGCTTCTGGGGAATCATCCCAGTGGGATCCAGCCTCCTGGAGGGCCCTCTAGCTTTGTTGTTCTTTTGCCTGCTTCCAGCTCCTTTCCCCGGGGATCTTTGCGTCAGCACGTGGCTACTACAGCCAAGATAAAATCCTTTGAAGCCATGCCAACTCTGGGAAGAATTCCAGCACATGAAATTTATCCTAGAGTAGAAATGTGCAGTTTCTTTCAGAGATGGGGGAGGGCACCATAAAACAAATCAAGATGAGACCCTTCACAGCTCTCTGAAAGTCTGTGGGATTCTGGCTCCTTCTCTTGGCTACCCAAGACTGAGCACGAGGCTTCCTACTAGCACCAGGCTGTAGCTTCTAGCCCCTTGGTGAATGCTGCCACCAGCACCCCTCCTAGGGCCAGAGCAGAGACTTATTTCTAATCAAAAACTCAGGGCTTCCAAATAGAGTTTGGGATGGGCTATTCCACCTCCAGGTCACTGAGGGAGATTTAAAGCCTTGTGACAATCAATCAGCTTGGTGTTGTTCAGCTCTCTGTCCCTGTGAAGTCCTGGGATTGTGTATGTGAAGTAAAACAAAGGCTTGACACGCTTGGCACAGCCTTAGCTGCCTAAAAGCTGTGTGATTTCTGCCAAGGGATCACGATTTGCAGAAAAAAAATGTTTTGAAAAAAAGTTAGGTCTTGAAAATACATTTGCAAGCTGCGGATGGTACTAAAGGCTGAGATGAGGTCATGAATTTCATGCTACAGCTCTGCAGTCAATTTTTTTTTTTTAACTCACCTATTTTGACACCTCCAGTATTGAGTGCATTGATGGACTGCTGGGAGAGAAAGGCCATTCTGATCCATCACCTCACCCTGTTACCGTACAGCGTCTGTGATGTGTGCACTCTTTCCTAGGGAAAATCAGGAGTACCTAACTTCCCTACACCCAGGAAAGCCCCTGAAGGCTGTTCACACACAGCGCAGCAGCCTGTGATGGCGCTGTGTCCCTCATTACCAACCTCAGCCAGCAGATAGCAGCTTTACAGTCAGCACAGGGAGACAACTCTGACCTTTGGTCCAAGCCATGCATGCATGGAGGCCAGGCTGGCAGTGCCTGTGAGAGCTGCCATGCCCCCACTCACCTCTCATCTCTATTTCCACAATAAAATGTCACCACCCAAGCTTTCAGACAGTTTCACTTTCTCCGTGTACCTCTTCTGCAAGCTGCACGGGGCACACAGGATAAAGGAATGCTCAGGCACCAAGCGCTGAGGTTTATAATCTCACTACAGGCCCCTGAGTACCCCAGAGGTGTCAAACAAGCGCTGTGCTCACCCGCAGCCAGCTGGTACCGAAGCAGAGCTGGGGAGGGGGCTAGGACGCACTGCTGCACTGTGCTTGTAATGCCTGTTTGTCTTAGCAATGCTGTATACTGACCTATAAGTGATCCATTGGTCGCAGCAACAAATAACTGCCCATTTTGCCTTGTCCTAATTCCCTGTTTTATGTGGCTAGACGAGAATTTTACTTTAAGTCAGGAGCATGCAACTCCTGGTTGTCTCCCCTGCAGCACGGTGGTGCACAGCCCGGAGCGGGAGCCCTGCAGCGCTTTTGGAAGCTCCCCCAGTCAGGCTGCAGCTGCCTGCCCACCCAGCTGGGCTAACGCCTGGCTGAAACAACCCCCCTGCAGCTTGCAGTGTGAGCGCCGCGTCCTTACCAGCACCTGCACTATGCTGCCCGCTGCTGTAGGCGTGCTCCTGCCCAGCTCTGAGGGACTGCGCTGTGCTGTGCCTCTCCTGGCAGCCCAGGGTCTTCACTCCTACAAAGAGCAGAAAGCGAAATAGCAGCACAGCACCATCAGCAACCCCCTGAGTGAACCAAGAATCTCTCCAAATCCTCAATCAGTCTCAAAACTGTTTGAGATTTTGGTGTCAGCCCAGAGTATCCGACCTGAAGGGGCTGGCGTTCCTGTCACTGCTCCCTGCTGCAGCCTGCGAGGAGGTGCAGGAGGAGAGCGGTTCCTCGGCGCTACCAGCACGCGGTCAGGCAGCTGGCTCGCCCTGGGGAACGGAGCGCACGTCACAAGAAATACCTGTCTGCCGAGAGCGCCCTGTTTGTACCTTTCCCCGGGGAACCTTAGAGAATTAAAGCAAAGCTGTGAGATGTAAAACAAATTCTCGTGTTTGTTGTCTTTAATGGAAGAAGCAGCACCTGCCCACGCGCAGCCAGGCACCAGAGCGGTGCGAGTTCCCTGCTGCACGCTGTGTGTGTACCAAAGCAGGGAGGCAGGCCTGGGAAGGGCACCAAACTTAAACAAAACCCCATCCTCTCTCTACAAGGTACAAAAGCAGCCACCTACTTTCTACCTTGCTGCCTCTACAAAGAGCTCCCAAGACTTGAGGTGATAAATAACTAACACTAACCAACTGCAGAGGCCTGAAGTTCTCTGATGCCCAGTGGTTTGCAGATACAGCCTTGACTTTAAGCCTTCATCAGCGTGCTTCCAAGCACGTCCCACGTTAATTAGTATTTTCACAAAACGCGAAGATAAAAGCAACAAGAGGGATGTTTTGTCACCAGATCTCTCTGAGTCAAGTCACTCCTATCGGGCTTGTACCCGAACCCAGAGACCAACCCTGCAGCATCAGCAGGTGGCTTGGGGCTCCGTGTGCTGAGCACTGCAGATACACACACCCGTGTGTTAAACAGGAGGAAGCATTTCCCCCACACAATGGCTGGCCCTTGTTTTGGCCCCAAATCCCTCCAGACGCAGGGGGCTGCAGGGTCAGCGTGTTTTTGTGAGAGGAGGGGCTGCCAAGCCTTGCTCAGTCGCACCCACCCGTGCCAGGCAGAGCCATGAGGTGAGGGCGCCTGCCTCCCCCGGCCCTGCCCTCCGTGCGGCCGGCTCACAAGGGGCCTCTTGTTCCCCCAGCGCCCGTGCGAGCCGCGCCAGTGTCCGGCTGGCACCGTGCCGGCCCCGAGCCCATGTCTCCCAGCCACCGCCTGCTCTCTGCGCTCGCAGACAGGGACACCGGTCGCAGGATGAGACCCTAAGGAACAGGGCAGGAAGGCGAGGAGAGGAGCTGCTCCCCCAACCTCACTCACAGCAGCACCGGCTTGTCCAAAGCAACAGATTGCACCCGATTTACTCTGAAGTCAGGTTAAATACCCAGCTGGGGCAGCAAACCATGGCAGTGCCATACTCCATACTGTTCAAAGCACGGCAGAGAGGGGGAAATGTACAAAGACTGCACTAAATTCATCGGACAGCACTATAAACAACACATAATTAGCTCTCTGCAAGCCAATTAGACGGTTTGGGAACACGAAAGTGCAAAGCCAATATCCAAAGGGGAAACGAGAGGCGGTTTGTGGCAGTCCGGCTGGGCGGCGATGCCACCTGCCGGCAGGCTCCGAGCAGAGCCTAATGGGGAAACGGGCAGCAGCTTCCCTGCGTGCCCCCGTTCCCGCAGAGCGGGGCACCCGACCGAAGGGCAGGGCAGAACAGAACGCACGCAGAGTGCCCAAACGAGAGCCAAACTCCCGGACTTATGAGCCAAGGAGGAATTTTGGAAACCTGTTTCCAAATCAGCACAGCAAAGCCCGGGAGGCCCATGTCTGCCAGCTCCGTGAGGCAGAGCTCCATCCGGCGGTCAGGGCCCTGCCTGCACCTCGCTAGGTTCAGCCAGCCTTCGGGGTGACCGCGGGACGAGTTACCTCAGCCTCTCTGACCCTTGGTTTTCTCCTGCACGTAGGGCTCGCTCCGTTTTTCCCACTGCAGAGGGAGATGTTTCAGGATGACCGGGAAACTCGAACGTTCCTGCAGCAGGAATTTTTCAGCCACACACACGCCAACAGCGCAGCTTGCCCGAGTTGAACCATTCCCAGCACCAAAGAGGTGCAACTGCAGGCCCTACCCCGCTGCAGGATGCTGCATCCTGGCTCAATGGAGGCAAGCGCTTTCAAGACAAACTGGCATTTATCAGCATTTTGCCATTTTCACCTCTTAATGCATTTGCACAGGCAAAGGAGTCAAGGTGGGGCAAATCACAAAGTCAACACGAGTAACAAGGGACTGCATTGCCCATGAGAACCAGCCGAATCACTTAGTTACTTGCATCCATCATCCTTTCATGTTTGGGTTTTTGCCTGTTTTCCCTAAGAAGAGAAACATGAAACTGAGCTCTCCCCTCTCCTGATAACTGCTGAGTCTAGTTCCAACCGAAAGCCCCAGTTCTCTTTAGGAATACCAGGGTCCTTTCCTGTTTCCTCCCCTTTGCTCACTACACCCAGGAGCTCCAAATGAGCCCCCACCACAGGACAGACGAGAGCCACCCGGGCAGCACACCCCTGTGCCTGCAGCACACAACCAGGAGGCTTAAAAGCAAGGGGCACAAGACCCAAGGCACCAAGCCTCACCAGTGGTGCTGCTCGTGGCACAGCTTCTTGTAAATGGGATAGAATACCTGAACTGGACAGAGCCAAGGAGGAAGGGCACGGCAGCAGCACTTCAGAGAAGCGATCTCCCGCCACCCTGTCCCCAGCAGTGACTCAGTTTGTGGAATTTCTGGTAAAAATAAATAAATCAGTCAAGGTCTGCATGACTCCCAGAATGGAAAATGGTGCAGGGACACGGAGAGTGAGAAGACTGTCACACACATAAAATGTAGGCTTCACAGCTGAAAGACTTCTATTATTTAAAATTTTAGCTATAATCTCACCTTGTCCAGCCCGGTAAGCCTCAGTACCCCCCTCCTTACCACCCTGGCTCCCCTCCACGACTTCTGACAGCCGCAGCCTCCCTCCAGCCCCATCTCATTCCTGTCCCACTGTTCCAGCCCTTCCCACAACGAGCACTGCTCTGAGGCCTGCTGGCAGGGCTGTCTGCCTGCCACTTGCACATCAGGTCAGCATCCCACGCCGCTGCGCAGCTCCCTCATGCAGATTTCTAGATCTGTATCTCACCAGATTCCTCCGCAGCTGTTTCCTTGCTGCCGTAACCTTCACGGCTGGCTCAGCTGCCACAGCGGGAATCTCAAGCGCTACTAAGAAGTTACACGAAAAGCAGATTATTTCAAATAAGTCCCAGGCCTCCAGTCAGTGCAGTTCTTTACCAAGTGAGATCTCAGCATTTCCTCTTTCTCACTATCTTCCAAATCTCTACATTCTTTTCTCCTAAATTCTCAGAAAACGGAACTGTCTTTACATATAATACAACCTATGGAATGACGAGGATGTTAGAGTATTTTTTGGAATTAACCTCATTAGGAGAGGTCAGGAGATAAGAGCTGCTTATCTTGGTTTGATGCGTTGGCATCTCTAGAAAATAGTAAAGTAGCATAAATCAAAGCACAGTCCCCATGAAGCTAAGGTGGAGTTGGATTCTTTTGTCTTTCCCTACAGACATTTCAGAACATTGCTTACAAAAATATTTCCATCACTAGGTTGAAAGTCAAGGAAACTCCAGTTCTTACCTATGCGTTTTCATGTTTTATTTTCAGAAGGATAAAAGGACTCACTCTGCTGATTCAGGGCTTTAGTCTCTACAGAGTTACCTCTCTGAAACAACTGCTAAATGTTCCACAACAAAAAAATCTACGGGAAAGACAAGATTCCAGCATCTGCAGAAGGTTTCACTACTCAAATTAAAAAGTTAAAACTTGAGCAACGGCACAAATCTTCAGATTTCCTCAGAACACCACGCTAGACACAGGCTCAGTGAGCTTTCTACTTGTTTCCTTTGTAGTGAGCTCCCCTCACTCTGACCACCGCACGCGTGGTACTCGTGTCAAACCCCCCAGCCCCGATTCCTTTTTCTAAGCACACCCGAACCGCGGCTCCTGAGGAGTGTAGGCTCCTGAGGAGTGTAGGCTACATAGGCGATTCCTGTGGAGTTCCCACAGGCGGGTTATGTGCACGGGGCCTGCTGTCAGGGCTCTGGAGGGAAGTGAGCACTGAGACTACCCAGACTAACACAAATGTGCACTCAGATTATGGATTGTGCTCCTGCTGCACACCCAGACCTGGCTCACTCTCACCACGAGCAGCAGCACACCTGGACGGTCACCATCACTGCCTGCCTCAGCACCGTTCCTGCAGCTCTTTCTCTGTCCCTTAAATTAAGGCACGTGGCGTATGCCCGGTGGCTCTTCACACAGAGGAAGACTTGATACCGGATCAGAAAGGCAGTCGAGATTTTCAGGCTGTTTAGCTCTAGGAACTGCAACTCTAGATACAGGAATACTCTACCTACTGGGAGTGCGTGCTGCCTTTGAACAGCTGATCTGGATAAACGGAACCAAAAACCTTTCCTGCTTCAATTTTGGGGTAAAAATTATTCAGCTACCATTACTGCTCCAGAATATTTTACTGTTGACTCTTTCTAGTGACAAAGAGTAATAAAACTGTCCATATCTCACACTGAAAGAATATATTAATGAATGAGCTGTCAAAAAATCATTTATGTAAAAGGATGTTCTATTTACAAAGGTCAACCTGCTCTTCAGGACAAGTAAAACCACTACTGGAAAAAATATACATATAGAAATGTCTGATCTTTCAAATAGACATTTACAAATACTCTGCTTTCTTTAAGCGACTAGAAACATTAAGACATTTGAAATTAAAAGTGTGTTCTGCATGCAGTTATGATAGAAATTACATTATTGGACCTCAGCGTGCCACTTCTCATCATCGTCAGTGACACGCTCTTAGGCTCTTCTAAACCACCACAGCCTGGCTATTACCTTAGGATCTCAAAAGGAGGACACGGCTCTTCAGTAAGAGGTTACCAGTCACTCTTCGTGTTGCTGTTAAAAAAGGACATCCTGATTGTCTGTACAGCAGGAGAGTCTGTCTGGTCTTGTCGAGCTCGGCGTCCTTTTCCCTGAGTTTCCCGCTAGTGTTTTGCTAGGCATGACGATCGCTGGCTTGGCGTATGTACAAGTCCTCGGGCCGCACTCTTCCCCTTACAAGGCAGAGTTCAGAAATTCAAGCAGCTCTGCGCGGTTCCGATCTCTCTGCAGGGCAGAAAAGCAGAGGCAGCAGATCAACAGCCCTGTACTCAACAGGCCAAGGCTGCACAACCCTGTTTTCTGCAGGGCCTTGACACGCTGGCACCCTGCACAGCAAACGCTACAACATCCAAACACCAGGGTTTTACCATCTCCCAGATCGCTGTGAGTGCCTGGAGGAAGCGCAAGGCAATGGGTAACTCAGGAGAGAGACTTGAGGAGCCAAGCTGTCACCGCTGCTATCTCATGATGTATTTTCTAGAGTGGCTCCCTGTGGAGGCTCCACTGGGTTGCCATCACATAGCCCACAGCCCGCTCAGGAGGGAACTCGCAAGCAGAACAGATGCAATTTCTGCTGTCTGAAGCAACTTTCGCTGCACACACAGCAAGCCTTGTGTTCTGGGAAGTATCGTTTTCTCTGTGCATACGCAGCAGCTTGTAGCACAACAGAAAAGGAACCAGGAACTTCGTTTCTTGCTTTACATGAGAGACAGCCTAAACTGAACACTTAGTTTCCAGTGTTTTTAAAATCACAGTTTATGAAACATTCATTGATTCTTAAAATATTGTGAATAACGGGTATTGTTCAATTCTGCATGTTCATGACTAGGGCCACTAAACAAAAAAAGACCAGTGCCAAATATTTGACAGCAAACACTGAAGCAAGCAGGTTACTGGGAGAAGGCTAGTAAGCATTCAGCATAATTCAAGGTAAACCTTACTGCCACAAAAAGGAGATACTGTACTTTTGATCAAATCCAACTTGGAACGCTCAGGCCTGCCTTGGTAACTATAGAATAAACAGTTATGGCTAAGTCAGAACCCACCGAACGGGACACCTCAGCAAAGTATCACTTTTTAAACTTTTTAACTAAGTCAATGTATTGACTCATATAGAAGCCCTCTGCAGATCACTCTAAGGTATGGACATTGCTGAAAAGAGTGGCAATGTTTAAATGTTGAGTTTAAACACCCACAGCAATAGCAGCAAATACAACCAATTCATGGTATCTAGTGCCTTGGGCATCTCAGCAGAAACACCTGACTGCTCTGAGAGAATGCATGAGCACTTGGTTCGGATACTACCATCTTTTTTTCTTCCTCTCTAAATAAGGGCTAGTCTCACACTCATGAAAAAGAACAGAGTAAAGCAGGAATTGCCACGTTTGATCACAGGAGACTGGAAAAAGCAGAGTATGATCAAAAACAGCAGAAGCTAAATCAACAGGGAAAGGTGCGAATAAGCTAAATCTTATGGACTAAAATTCTGAGAATCTGCACTGAGCATCCTTGGGTTTATCTACTCATGCCTGAGTAGTCCAAGACCACACATTTAACAAAACTTGCCAAAAGAATGCATTTACCTTTCTCAGGTGGCATCACAGCCACATTAAATGCTATAACCAATTTATAACCTGTAAAACCTACTCCTCTACTAAAGAGTACTGTTAGAAAAATATGAAAAGAGATTATATTTTCCATTAGGGATACGCAGACTGTTTTAAGTATTACCTCTTTATCCTTCTTAGTTTTCTTTATTTTCATCTTAATTTTCTTTCCAGTTATCATGCTGTAGTTTTCATTCTTCTTTTTGTTTTTGAAGAACTAAAATGAGATCACACATGAGGAAAAAAAGCTTTATCTTGTCATGTTACAAATCTTAAAGAAAATTAGACAATAATCTTCTATACTTCCTAAATGTCTAAAAAACAGGGATACATTTCTGTTTGTTTATGACAAAATCGGTGCTGTTAAAAACATTTTTCTGACATGACATTGTTTAAATGAGAGACACAATGGGAATTTTGACAAACAAGCATACCTTAGAAAGCTGGACAGGTCCTGTCTTCTCTCTCTTTTTCTTCTTTTCTTTCTTTTTTTTCATTTTATTCTCTTTTTTCCTTTTCTGTAAGTATAAGACACATACCATAGTGCTTACAGATTCGCTAGTGCAGAAAAAGGAAACCCACAGAGCCTTTTCATGCCCTGGATAGTCTAAACAGCCCCTACTGCTTACCCTCATCACTGCTGAATAGGTCCTATGTGAAGTACACAGAACATAATGCAGAGAAGTTGGCAACCCTTTGAAACAGAAACAGTATGATCCCTGATTCTCTCTTTTTTTTTTTTTTTTTTAAATATATACCATCCAATAAATAAAATCACTGAGAAGGTCAGATAAAAATGAGAAGAGAAAAATTACAACACCCAGAAACTGTTATTCTCTGATTATAAACAGTTTCTTCTGACAGAAATTCTATGAAGTTATCAAGATCCCCACTTCTGCTCTTCAGAGACTACTCTAAATTCTAGGACCAGCAATGATTGTTAAAAGGCACCATAAATTATTTCTTCTTTGGTAAACTGTCAAGTGTACATCAGCTTAATCAGTTCACCTGCTGTTAACACTAAAAGTGTGCTTGAAATTTACACAGCCACAGAAAAAAACAGTAAGCATTACATGATATTTAGAGTTACCAAAACACAAAGAACTAATTTCTATTTGTTACCTACTCATTACTACTTGTTTGTTAATTACTCCTTACTGTTAGCAAAACTTTACCTTTTTATTGTGCTTTTCTTTTTTCCTTTTCTTCGATTTAGACTTAGGAGAATCTGGAAAAAAAACAACCATCTAGGGTTAGTATTCTGTAAAAAGCATTTGGTTTTGCAGATAAATGTAGATGTAGATACATAAAACATAAGAAGAAAATGCTTAAATTCAGCTGAATATATCAATACTGGTTGAAATTAATCCTGAGAAAAGCAACACATCAACTTACTGCCACTTACTGGTCTAACATGGAAACTGAAAATCACCTGAAAACATTATCACAGTACAAGGTAAATGAAAAACTTTTCCTACTTGCTCAGCTCCTGTTTCAAGAGTTTCTGTAAAGCTGAAACTCACGCATTCTATAAGCTGATCACAAATGCAAAGATTACACTACGACTGCGACGTAAGGATTTTGAGGCACCAGCTCTGACTATGGGACTGTAAACCTAGAAAGACAGTGAAACAACCCACTAGTCTTCCAACAAAGCCTCACCTCCGTGCTCAGGAAGATCATGGAACAGATCTTCCAGGAGGTTATATGAAGGAAGGCATATGAAAAGTAAGTAATATGAGACACCCAGCAGGACTTCTCCAGGGCCAAATCATAGAATCATAGAATATCCTGAGTTGGAAGGGACCCTTAAGGATCATCAAGTCCAACTCTTGACACCGCACAGGTCTACCCAAAAGTTCAAACCATGTGACTAAGTGCACAGTCCAATCTCTTCTTAAATTCAGTCAGGCTCGGTGCAGTGACCACTTCCCTGGGGAGCCTGTTCCAGTGTGCAACCACCCTCTGGTGGCTGCAAATCATATTGGCCTGACCAAGCAGGTGGCCTTCGATGACGGAGCAACTGCAGCAGTGGATAAGGGATGATGCCCTAGTGTCATCTACCTGCTGAACATAGACCTAACCAATTTTATCACTTTACCCATCTCTTCCAGCCTTGTTGTCACTTTGTGATGGTGTAGCCATATTTAAAATAAGCTTTAAATGTTTCCAGGGGTGCTGTCAAAACTGGTAAACATCAGGTGTACACAGTGGTAGCTTACCTCTGCTACTTGAAGAAGACGACCTTGACGATGAGCGTGATGAGGAGGAAGAAGAAGAGGATGCAGTACTAGAAGACGATGTGGATGAAACGGATGATGATCTGCTTCTACTACGTTTTCGCTTCCTTTTTTCTTTACCTTAGGAAGACAGGAGGCAGCAGTGATGTGCCTGCTAGTAAGTATGGTCTACAAAGATGACTCTTACAGAAATTTAACACAGTAAACCGATATTTTGATAAGGTTTTTTCCCCCCCTTCCAATGTGCCACAGGGTATTGTCACTAGCTGGTGATTATGGTACGCGTTACAGCCAAACACGGTAGCAGACACAAAGGATAACACGTAACACACACATCACCACTGCACCGGAGCTGATAACAGCACCTACCTCGGCCTTTCAGCTCTTCCTGTGAGGTGGCACAGAGCGTCCTGCTTTTCTCATCCTTCTGGCTATCCATATCTAGCACGAGACAAAAGCGCGTTCAGTAACATCACCTGCAAAAGCCTTTGCGGAAAAAGGGCATGCCTCACCCTCCCATGAGGCAAAAATTAAGGCAAGCATCCTCCTACAGCAGGCACCGGCCGCCCGAGCCCTGCTTCGACCGACATGAGGCGATTTTTAATCATTTTTTCACGCCAGGGCAGCCACCGCGAAGGCGGCCGGCGCCTGACGGGGCCGCGGACGAGGCTGAGGCGCGCGGGCGCCGCCATTTCGTGGTGCCCGCCCGCCGCCGCCTCACGGAGCCCGCCCCGGCCCCGCACTTACCGGGGGCGGCCGCAGCGCTGCCCCGGGCCCCTCGGCACCTCGGCTGCCGACCCGGAAGGGTTACAGCGGCGACCCGGAGGTAGGAGGCGGTGGCTCCCAGCCCTTCCCGGCCCTCCCCGGCCCGGCACCGCCTCCCGGCCCGGCGCTGAGCCACGCCATGCCCGGCCCGGTCCCGCCGGCGGGCTGCATGCACCGCACCCGGCTCGGAAAAGCCCTAGGGCGTAGAAAAAAGACACTCAAATAGTTACAAACGGTCAATAAATACATTAAAACATACCGTGTGTCCACGTAGAAATATCATACGCTCTTCCTGTTACTTACTCCGCACAGTATTATTGAAAAGGTTTTTGTCTTTTTTTCCACACAACATCAAAAATTCTTCCCGAACACTCACACACCATTGTTTCTTTTCTTTATTGGGAATGGAATGAAATTTAAAATCCAGTGTACAAGTAGTAAAAATCGCTGAAAATCTTAAAACGTACAACTCTCAGCCACTGTAACAAAACGATCCGGTTTAAATAAGGTCGTCTTTAAAAAAATCGATTTTCTCAACTAATTCGTTATAAAACAGGCAGTATTTCAAAAGGGGTGCTTACATCACCCAGGATGAATTGTTTGTGCTTCAAAATTTTAACAGGAATATTCATGACAAACAACAAAACCTACTGTAAGTAGAGAGATTGCAGTATGAACTTTCTACGACCAAACATGCTCTCAAGCTGTGTCCAGCAACACACCAAACACGTATCCACATCACTACACCATCACCAATTCTAACAGCTAGGAATGGAGTTTTAATAATACTTAGCTCTTCTCATGCTCAAAATTCTTCACAAACATTTAAACGGTCCTAACACTGCTGCAAGTATTATTATCCCCATTTTACGCTCGGGGTGGTGGAGGCAGAGGGGACTGGTAACTCGCCCAGACACAGACCGCATCCCTTCCCTCTTGCTCCAGTTCTCCATGTTGTCATTTCTTTAATTTTACACTTCATGTACTGGAGAGTCCTAGGATATGCAGCTGGCACGGTTCCATCTGTGGTTATTAGGCAAGCTGTACCACTTTGGAAGTTACATGACAAATATGAAAGTAACAATCAATGTGAAGTCCACATCAGAGGCTCAGGATTGATGTCCTAGAATGCCACAACATCTTAAAAACAAGCTTACTCATTCTGTAACAAAGTGTTAAGGACATAAGGACTAGTTCTCTCTGCTGTATGGACAAAAAGGACTGTAAAAGTCAGTCATGGTGGTAAAAAAAATAATAAAATTTGGTCTTCGTCATCTGTCTGGGAACATTGAAAACCCCAACAGTGGCCCAGCATGTACTGACATTGTACAACAGAAAGAGCATCTAAATGAAAACAAAGTTTCCAGATGCGCTACCTTACTAGGACATACAAATAACTAAGGTTTTTCCTCCCCTACCCTTCAAATTTGAAAATTCATGAGTCTGAATTACGTCTTAGAAACTGTGTGGAAAAGTAAATGCCTAGCAATGAGCTTCCAGGTATAAAATATGGTATTTTGCCTTCATCTTACTGACAATCCCCAATCGCATTATTTCAGTCGATATTAACATTCTGCACAGAAAAGGCATTTCTGATTTTGCCACATTTGCCCTCTTGAATTTTCTACCTTATACCTTGCAGTCTGTGCCCCATTTTGATTTTTATCCTGCCTAGTTTAGTCTTACTCTAAACACAGCGTGATTTCATATTATCCCTTTCAAAAGCTTCAGCTTTGCTCTGCCACTGGACTGCAGGAGCAATGGATAACATTTCAATGCTTTATTACCTGATCTGTAAGAGATGAGGGACACAAAATTCTGTCACTTCTAACAGCAAAATGACCGAGTGTGCAAAATGACATCCCTCTTACAAGCACCTAAAAGGCTACAAAAAGGCACATAAATACTTCATTATTTATTGTTTCGTGCCTGATCTTGGCATTTTTAGTGTGTCTCCAATAAATGACATACAATGCACACGCTCCCTTGCAATATGGCAGGAACTTGGGATAAAAATGAAGATCTTCAGAAGTGCTTCACAGCTAGCAGTTATTGCTCAGCAGCTCTCTCTCCTTTCAACAAATGCTAGGGGTGCACTACCACCTGTGAGAACCGTGTTCCTACAGCAACCTCACTCCCAAGCCTCATTCCCTAATCCATTTCCCCCTTCATTCCCAAACATCTAAATTTCTAGAAGAGGGGAACGATGCATGTTATGTGGGCTTTTTCCCTAACAGATATTCAAAGCTATTCCTGCCTTCTGTAGAGCTGGTAGGCCAGAAAGCATCTCTTTTGCACAGCTGAAGAAGCAAAAAAGAGAAATTTGTTCTCCCTTGGCAGTACAGCCAAAAGGTGGCAGGCTGGCTGAGTACCTCACTTATGGCCATGTCCTGAGAGGTGAGAAGCACATACGGCTTCTTTTGACTTCAGGTGGGGACTGTGGATGTTGATCACCAATGGAAATCAGTCCCAAGGCACTAGGCAGGAATGGAAAAGACATTAACAAAGCTGTTGTGACCTCCTATATAGCTGAAATATCAGGCTAGAAAAGTAAGAGGCATTGGCATCTTCCTTTGGGCTTCCTTGAAGGAAAATGGCAACAAAAAAGGAATGCAAGATCCCTGACAAATGTCTGGCTGAAGCCATTTCTCACTGCTTCAAAAATCCAGGAGATTAAGGGATCATGATACATTGATTCAAATGAGCTAATGTCAAAATGTTTCCATTTCAGACAAGTGCAATGCACTTGCACATTGTGTGAGAGTGACAGGAGCCCACAGGCCTGCTTGGGCTCCGCAGAGTTTACAGGATGATTTTCGTCTCAGAACACCGGTTTTGTGATGTGAGCCAAGCATTCACACCCAGCCGGCACTAAGACAGGTCAAAGCACCGGACTGAATGCATGTTCACATCACACTGGATTTACAGCTGCCTTGAAACTGCAGCCCTGAAAAAAGGTTAAAAAAGGGAAGGCTGACGCTTTGGCAATTCATTATCTGTTACATAGTCCAAAAGCCTCAAAACATATCAGTAGCTCGACTAGTGGCAATTCACTATTGCATGACTGGTAGTCACAAAGAAAGCATTTCTTAATAATTAAAGCAGTCATATTGATTGGGTGCTTTTTTCACAATTCCTCCAGATCAGTTAAATCCACAACTACTTTTAAGAACAGCGTGTCATCTTTAACATAGGTATTCTTTGTGTTCTCCAGAACCGTGTGCGGCACAAAGCGCGGGCATCCAGAGGCAATATTCATTTCTCCATCCGGCCTTTTGAAGCTGCTGCTGTTGGGGTCAGCTCTAAAGTTTTCCACAATGTGATTTTTTTTCCCACTTTGGTCCAACAGCATAAGCGTAACTTTTTGCTTGAAAGGCCAAGGCAACAATGAGTCAAACTCGCCTCTCATGACTACAAAGTAAAGCGAGACGTGCGTTCCCTTGCCTGAGCCATCCCCATTCAGATATGCTCTCGCACATAACCTGTACCCACAGCGGCTGGTGTAAAAAGGCTGGCTGAATATAGAGAGCACACGGCCTTCCACTGCTTCTTTTTTCTTCATCTTATAGTCCGTGATTTTCCAAATTAATTTCCCACTGTAGCACGTGCCTTCCAAAAGCTTAAATCGTTCTTCATTTTTATTGAGCTGTGCTTTGTGAATATTGATTTGGAGATCATGTTTGCTGGATTGGCCTTCCAAAACAACTGGAAAAAAAAGAAATATTCAGTAAAATAAGACAGTCGGAACACTGGATACAAAGAGTGACCAGACTGGAGCTGACAGTATGTAAGAACAATACTGAGCAGAGACTGTTAACTAATGCTAGCAGCACTGTGGCTGTTGACTTTTTAAAATTATTTTTATTATTGTAATTGCAGCAGGTAATTGAACAAGGTAAAACACAACTGCAAGCCAGATTTAATGTCTGACAACAGACACTACCACTGCTCACATCACAGTGCCTCAGGAATTCAGGAGCTGGGCCCTGCGGTGACACCGTGGAGTAGGGGAAGGTGGGAGGATGGAGCACACACTACCACGGGTTGGTCTTAGAAAGCAAGAATAAGCAAGTTATTTCTGGCTAAGAGCCACAGCTGACTGTCTGCAGTACCAGAGCCTTTACTTAGCCACCACAACATCAGCAAAAATCCCAAACCCACACAGAAAAGAGACAGAAGTCCCAACATACCTAAGCGCTGATCGTATGACTCCATAAGGGCAATCTTCTGTTTTACATTTTCAATTGTGTCAAACAGGGGTCGCAAGTCTAGTTTACTTTGCTGCTGGTTTGCCATCTGTATTAGCTGTTTCACCTGCGATTCCAGACGTGCAGATTTATCCAGGTGACTGGCAAGAGCCTTCCCAGTTAATGCCATTGGAAGAGGGTGGGAAGTAGAGACAAGAGACGTGCATAAAATCAGCCATTCCATTTGAAACAGAGAAATCTTTAACATGTCAGCAATACCAGCTACAATGTGCAATCAATAGTCTGCTGCCTTAGGAACGTATCCAAATGTTCCCTCTCTCAGCGTTTGCTGACTGAGAAACCATCCCTCATTCAGATCCATTCTCACTACAGTACTTCATTCAACTCCTTATTCGAATTTACACCTTCCTATTTCCTATGATCTAGCCATGGGGATTTATTCAGTGTTTTTGCCGAGATAGATATTCAGACTTCTTTATTGGTTAAAAGGAGAAGACAATACTGTACTGTAAAAAACAACAGCAACGGCAACAAACCAAGAAGGGCTTGTGAAATGTCTGGGAAGCAGCATTTGTTACTGTCTTGCTATTAATGACAACTGGATAAACGTATTTCAGGATGCAAGAAAGCAATCAGCCAAAAAGGTAAAATCACTGTCTCACCTGCGTGCTTACCATCAAGTTGCTATTTTTACCAAACAGTTGTGTAAACTGTCTGAATTCTTTCTCACACTTTTTAACAGCCTCTGCTAGCTGCTGGATTTTAATCTCTTTAGATTCCAGGCTCTTGTACAGGTCAGATATCTACAAACAGAAAAATACAGAGTAAAAACTCCAGGCACAACAAAACACCCAATGATTGCATTAAAACACATGTGATATACAGGAAAAAAGAAGAAATGTTTATAATGCAAGGTCTCTAGCTCAGCTAGATAATTCAAATTTATGGATGAGTTCTGGCAAGTACGGAACATCCCTGCATCTTAAACCTGCCCAGCTGCTGCCCAGCTTACAAAGCAAGATTTTTAAGCCACTGTGTTAATGTGGATTGAGGCAGGAGGCCCTGCACTGCTCTGTACTTCCTCTACAGAAGGGACAGCTTGAGTGTCTAAGGGCTCCTGTTCAAAGCAATTTGACTGGTCTCTGAAACCTTAAAATGCTCTATCTGCAAACCTTGAGGCAACTGTAAGAAGAGGCTGAAAGCAAATGAGGTGAGCAATGGCAATGAGCCTCCCATTGTGCCTGCCAGAGAATACACGTGCCTGAGCACAAAGAGGTTTCCATCTAATTGCCTGACTTCACTAGAAGAGCTTATTCTGACTTCTGAGGTGTGCAAAGACAATAAAAACAGTCTTTTAAAGTATACTTGAACTAAAACAGGCAACAAATGCAAAATCTCGTATCGTCCTCCAAGCAGCCAAGGACTGTTGAAGAATGCTCATTAAATAAGAGTTACCTGTTCTTCCAATCTAGAGTTCTTGTCCAAAATCTGCAGCATGTGTTCCCTCAGGGCACCATTTTCATGTTCAGCAAGTTTCCCTCTTTTAACCTTAGTGAGGCAGAGGGAGAAGTGAAAGAATAAAATAATCAGATGCACAGATTTGTGAAGCTGGTGGGTAAAAATATATTGATGCAAGCACTTAAAACATCCCCTCTGTGACTTCGGAAGTCAGGGAATGGCAGTACTGGTTCTATGTGGTAGCATCTTAGGCAGTACTAGAAACGATTGTGAAAGAACAAAAAATGGTTATTTTGATTAATTATTCTGATTGGTTTGGGAGACAAATTCCAGTCCCAATACAAGCAAAATTTACAGAACAGTACCTTTATAAGACAGCCATACTGCTTATACGGGCAGTCTACTTCAGTCTCGGGACACACAGTGTGATGCTTTTCAATCTGCACATAATAACAAAAAGACTCATAATAAAATAAATATTAAATTACTTATTGCACTGATAAAATCTGAATACTTGCATAAAGGGTGAGTAAAGGCCAATATCATGACTGATCACGTAAAGAGGAAAATGAATATTCAGACAATAAGCAAGCTTGGTACTCTCCCATACTGCTAAATACCAGAGCTTTGCCATGACCAAATTCCTCATTTGTCAGGGGGGCCACATATCACTTACAGGACCAAACAAAGAAAATACTTGGAGTGATGAAGATTTATTGGTGCAAGCCAATGCTTGCGTCTCTGATGCAAGTTTCAGTTTTCATGGTAGTGTGCAATTTGCTGAATCACAGTATGTGGAAGAACTACCAGTACCTCCTTTTTCAGAATGATTTGTGAGCAGTTTTGGACACAAGGCACGGGATAATCAGGACAGTCATCTTTCTCATGATTCTAGGGAAAAAGAAAAGCAACACAACAGTTTGCATTTTTGTAAAGTAGTATACATAAGGGAAGCTATTAATTTGACATGCAAAAAGTAATCATAAACATGCATGTACAAGCCCCATATCACATTGCTGTTCCTAAGAGAGCAACAATAATTGGTATCATTTAAAGAAGATTTATTATGCTTTCTCCTTCAGCTACTCAGCCAAATTTTGCTTCACGAGTTGTAAAACCCCACTGCAGTGCTAGAAACTTTTTACACAGAGCTATTAGGAGGTAAAACATTTGCTATGGAGTCCAGGGAATGTTTTATAACCTTACCTTTATGTTAATTAACATCACATATTTATTACAGTACTGACACATTTCTTCTCGAAATTTACAGTGCTGACTCAAGTGATCTTTCAGATCTTTCCGAAGGATTTGATCACAACATCCATCGTTGGTGCACTGCAGGCTTTCAAACAAACACTGCTGAAGATGCTCCTATGACACATAACAACAAATTAAAGCCCAGCGTATTTCACTGTATCTCCAGTTGTCCAGCAGACACATAGAAATATTTGGCAGTCTGGCAACAAATAAAAGTCCATGCACTCCTTCCCAGTGTGAACTTAAAACTAAAGTGAAATTTAGTCCTGTATTTGATTTCTACTTTTCATTCAAAAAGATCAAAGTGGCCAGTACATCTTGGGAAGTTTTTCTGAATCAACTATCACACTGTGCCTAAGTGTGCAGAAATTATGTATAGACACTGTGGATATACTAAAGCTATCTCAGAGCTCACTCCTCAGATAGCTGGAGCTGCGAGGCTTACTGTCATGGCTCTGGGATTGCCCTGGCCTCAGGCCCTGCTCAGCAGCATGGCAGAGGGGGTACGCTGAGCATCAATCCGCTAATCTCTTTTGTGTCACTCTTCCTGATGCTGCATCACACTGCACAGACATTCTGATGTGAGTTATCCTTGCTATTTTTATCATATTTAAATTCCCACATTATTAGTTTCTCACTATTGCATAGAATTTGACTCACGGTGATCCTCCTGAACTTGCAAAATGATAGATGCATTCACAGCAACATAAAGCAAATGGTTCTTATTAAACCAACCAGGCAAAACTGGAATAAGCTTACAGCCATAACATTTTAAGCGTAGCTATACACTGTGACTAACAAATATCAAGTGATAGTCTATGCACTTAAACCACATTTCTATAAAAACTCTGAAATCTGAAGACAATCACTGCAATTTATCTTATAATACACAAAATTTGCATGAAAATCAAAGGCTTCCAAAATTTGATGGAGCAAACTCACCTGATATCGCCCCAGGATTATTTTTGAATTGCAGTCAGGAAAGTTTTTGCAGAACACATGCAAGTTCAGAACTTCTCTTTTACAACAGTTGTCTCTGAATACCTGTAAAGGAGTTAAACCAGTCTTCATATATAGTTATATGGGATGTTATAAAAATATAAAAAGCAAATCTTGGTAACAGATAAAAGTCCATGTCAAAAAAAACAACTGTAACAAAGCTTTTAAGTGCCCAAGTGTAGACTCCATAATTGTGAGTATGGATCTTGACAATTCTTATTAAAAATACTATAAAAACACAAACTAAAACTTATACTGTGAATTTTCTAGCAGACATAGCATTTTTTCCCCATGCATTTATTCCACAGGTGCTAATCCACCTCTCAGCCTGCAGCATTAGTAGCTCAGGAGCTACAAAACCAGTGCCTGAATGCCGAAGTGGGCAGAACTACATGCCCCGAAGACCAAGTCAGCTGTGTGTACTGCAGAGCACCTTTGGGATAGCAATGATGTTCAGACACCCCACGTATAGGCTCTGAGAAACAGCACTGTTCCCAGTTGTGTAAGCAGAAGCAAAGTAAGCTCCCAGAGCAAACTTCCAGTCTTGATTAGAGATAAATCTACCTATACGGAGCATTATACAGCTGCTCTGACTTCTGCTAATGTCATTAAGATTTCCACAGGGTAGAAGATAGCAAGTGAAAAGCAACTATCATATGGACAGTCACAATTTCGTCTGAGGAGTAAGAGAGAGAGAGAGGGGAAGGAAACATTTGATTTCACTGGGAAATTCATTTTGTCAGGATCAAGCATGTAGCATACTTTCAAGCTTTGGCAAATAAATAAGAACAAATGCATCCACTACAAATATTCAGTTGGTTGCAAAATAAGTAATATGAACTTGTCTTTTCTTCCAAGAAGTTATCAAAACGCAAATTAAGTCTGTTGGGTTAATTAGATATTACAGAAATAATCAAGGCAGCAAATTAGAACCAAGTCAAAAATCAAAGGCAATTAAATAAACAAGATTCCCAAGCAAGTTTGGGGATAAAAAAAGTAAGTCAATAAACTCTCACTATAAAATATAAAACTCCACTATAAAAAACATCCAAAGACTAGAGAAGATTTAAACGCTGTGAACCTATTTGACAGTTTACTGGAATACAGAGGACAGAAGTGAAATAAGTTCAAAACACAAGGTGTAAAATGAAGCTTTAGCTGTACATCCCGATTTCCTTTCTGAGAGAAAAGTGGAGTCACCATCCCTGGAAGTCTTCAAAAGACGTTTAGATGTAGAGCTTAGGGATATGGTTTAGTGGGGACTGTTAGTGTTAGGTTAGAGGTTGGACTCGATGATCTTGAGGTCTCTTCCAACCTAGAAATTCTGTGATTCTGTGTGATTCTGTGAGAACATCAGTGAACATACAATTGCACTCAGCACTGTTTCATATGACAAAAACTACTCTTCCCCTAAGGATTAAAAGACTCAGATCCATCTCGTTCTCGTCTGTCTTGCTTTTCCATGCAGATGGTCACTGCTGAAGCAACTGCAACTACAGCCACTTACCTCGTGCATTTTTATTGTTTCTTTGTCGACAGGACAGGTGGGTACTGCATTCAATTCTCTAGATTACAAGAAAAGTTACATTAAGCCACAGAAAATTTCATTTATTTTACAAAATGAGGCTATACCACAATCTGCCTGGCAGAAGTCAATACTAGATACGTAAGTGGCAAGGCAGAATATTCTCAGAATGTGAATGGCTGAATTTCGATACGGCAAAGGGTGAAAGGGAGGATTTCCCTCCATTTTTATGACGCCTTTTAAATGGTCAGCCATACCTTGAAGTGTGAATTTAAGTATCTCTTATTGCAAGGTTTCATTCCGTCTATTGACACATTTCTTACAAAGCATCACAAAAGATGCTTTATACCAAAGCAATACTTAGTTTGTGAAATCACTAATGTTCTAGTTTGTTAAACTATCCAAAAAATACACAACCAGTCCTGCTAATTTACTAGCTGCAGAGCAGAATGCTAAACCAGGCATACCTTCAATGTTCAAAAAAGCATTTGGGCTTTTGCACAAGTGCCAGGTAGTACAGAATACAAGAGAAAACAGTCTTGCTACATGGATTGGTACTAGAAGAAGGTGGTCACCTAACAAGTAAGGATGAGGAAAAGGCAGAAGCGTTTAACATCTTTTTTGCCTCATAATATAATAGCAATGAGAGATCTTGGGCAGCTTGGACTTTAGAGTTGGAGGATCATGACTGGGGGATCAGTGACTTTCCATCTGTGGTCACAAAACTGTAAGGCAAGAGCTGTATCATAACTCCCTGGGGCCTGACAGGATTTGCTTCCGAGAGCTGCAGGAATTAGTGGACGCTACAGCTGGAGCCCCCTCAACAATTTACCAAAGGTGGGGGCAGCCTGGGGAGGTCCCTGCTGACTGGCAGCCAGCACTACACCTGTCTGCAAACTGGGCATGAGAGAAGACCCAGGAAACCACAGAGCTGCCAGTGCAGGCCACAGGCTGTCAGGTCTGGGGAAGAGGAAGCTGAGGGGCGGCCTCGCTGCTCTCTGCAGTTTCCCGAGGTGGGGAAGCACAGAGGGAGGTGTTGGGCTCTGCTCCTGGGAATCGATGGCAGGATGCATGGGAATGGCATGGAGCTGGGCAAAGGCAGGCCAGACTGGGCAAGAGGAAACATTTATTTACCCTCAGGGCGGTCAGACACTGGGACAAGCTTCCTAGAGAGGTGGTTGATGCCCCACGCCTGCCAGTGCTCAAGAGACAGCGAGGCAATGCCCTCAGTAACATGCTTTAATTTTTGGGCAGCCCTGAGGTGGCCAGGCACTTGGACTTGGTGGTCTTTGAAGGTCCCTTCCAACTGAACTATTCTACTCTATTCTAAAAATCAATGCAAGAAATACAAAATCCAATCTAGCTTGCCCCAGTTCTCTTTAAAGAAGTGATATGGAAGCAAATGAAAGCAATATTAATCTAACCACCAGTACCAACCAATAATGTGCAATAATGCAAAAAAAAAAATCACCTGAATAGTACGATAATAGAAAGGCAGACCTAGATGTTGTCTCTCTCAATAATGTTTAAGTTTACATCAAAAGCTTCCTTATGCTGACTTTCATGTAGTTACCAAAGCAATCCTATATTCCTTACCAGCACCATGTAAGGTCATTAGAGATACCTTTAAAAAGCTGAGTGTGCAGTCATTAAATTCAACAGTTTCCACTGACTCCTACATATTATCAGATGATTACTATAATTATGGCTTTTACTGTTGATTTATGAAAGGTGCTGACTTCTGTTCAGAACAGGAGGATGGGGAGCATGTAGATACAGAAGGAGTCTGTACTAACCGCAGGGTAAGAATGCACTGCTGGCAAAATCGGTGACCACATCCTGTCTGGTGGGGATTGTGAAGGACTAGGTGGCAGTAGGCACACTTGTACCGGTCCTCTAAGGTTTCCACAAATTTGTAGTCAGCATCAGGTTCGAAGTCCAGAGAAACAGCACTGGCAGAGTTCTGGCGTGTGAAGATGCCTGAGAGACCAGCGAATTCGTCACAGGCCATGGAAGCTGCACAGAAAAACCACACACAGGAAGAATCCTGTCAAATGCTCACAGTTGGTCACATCACCTCAGCTACAGCTTACAGCGGACTGCAACCCGTCTGCAGGTTTCCATTTGCAGAAAGGTCCAACAGATTTCAGAGGGGAATGGGGCATCGACTACAGAAGAACAGCATAAAGCTCAGAGGACCACAAGATAACATTTACATGACAAGCACTAAAACACACTTTATAAGAAGCTTCACAATCTGAAAACTATTCCCCAGAACAAAGTCAAAATAATCCTTAATTCCTTAATCTTTTTGCAGCAGCTGATAGTCTCAAAAAATTAAACAGTCAGAGCTGCAGTCGGGGAAAGCAGAGGCCAAGTCGTGACCTTAAGGTTTGCCAGGAAAGTCTACACTTAACCACTTAACATAAAGCCCTCCCACATGGTATTCCGAATTCACTGCACTGGTGCAAGCAGAAGACAGCTTTGTGATTCGTGGCAAGGAACATACAAAAAAAAAAAAAAAAAAAAAAGGGAGCAAGTAGATTTTACCTTCAGTTTAGGTGTTACAGCAGTCAAAGCCTCTTAACTTGACATCTTTCTTTTTCCAGTTGATCACTCATAGCAGTAGACTATACTCTTATTTTTTCAAAAATTTACTTAATTATGTGCAAGTTCTTGGCTATTTTAATCCTGCCTGCAAGATGTGATGGAAAAAAAAAAAGTAAGATTGCAATCAGAAATGTGACAGAAGTTTTTCACTCAATTTATAAAAGCTCATGGCAGATGAATGCTATGTTAGTTTTCTAAAGGAAAAACCAGCAACATTTGTTTCCAGTCCTAATAGTCACAAACCTTAATGCTTGCCCTGGTCCTTCAATCTCGCAGTACTTTTTTGCAAGCAGCCCGAGACCTAGAGCTGCTCAGGTCTTCATTTCTTGCAGCTCTGCATTCAGAAAACATTTATACTCACAGGATGTGTACAAACACGCAGTGCCTGCCACAACCACCTCCTCTTAAGTAAAAAACGTAACTCAAGAGTTTGCTCTTCGGCTCGTGTTTCTGTACCTCATTCCTGACAGCACAAAACTCACTCTGAACAGGCGTTATGATGAGGCAATTAAAACACTTACGCTCCATCTAAAGCACTGCCTGTAGGGTTATAGCGATGCAGAAGCTTTTTATTTGTGTGAACTCTGAGGCACCCTGTGACAGAGCTTTGGCTCTCAGGATGCTTCATGGGGAGGTGCTCGATTTTGTGGCCGCACTTCAGCAGGCTGCTTCCCTGCGGGCACATCACCCTCCCTGTCAGTCACCCGAGTCACTTTTACTGGCAGCAGCACCTCCCCGAGAGGTCTGACTCAGCTCCTGCAAGGTCACAGAGGGTGCATGCTGCTTTAGCGGGGAAGCAGAGCTGGCACATCACCATCAGCAACCCCACAGCTGGCATGAGGCAGCACACCAAGCGCTGATGTACTGGCACGCCACGTTCGGCTGTGGGCTGCTGGCCTTAGAAAGCAGCGATGAGTGCAGTGCAGCATGGAGCTCAAACATCTCCTGGGGCTCAGAAAGCAATGTGCATTTTCTTTGCTGCTTCAAAATACCACTCTGGGAAGGAGATCCTGCAGGCAGAGAGCCATGTCTCCTCGTAGGCTCCATGGGGTGCCCACCCACCAGCCTGCAGGACAGGAGGTCAGGGTTGTCAGTCAGCACTGATCATGTTGTCTGACCCTTCCTCATCTTGAAAACAGGGTTTCCATTCCTCTGGTGCTTAATAAGGAGCGATTTGATTTTCCTCATGCCCAGCAGGGACCTGAAGGAGCAGCATAAAGGGCTTACCAGCCTCACGCCTCAGCCCAGTGACAGGGGCCTCCATGGCAGGTGAGCAATGGCCGCAGTGACCTGTGCAGCATGAGCCATCTGCAGGCAAATCTGCTATGAACCCACTGCTCAGAGGGACCCCGAAAACATATTTCCCTCCTCTTGACTACAAATGCCCCTTCCTGTTCAAGGAACACCCAATTTCTCCAGTCCTATCACACTCCAGGCCTTGCATTGTCCAGTGTTATGGACTTAGCAAGTTGATGCTGCACTGTGTAAAAAGCATACCAAAAAAAACCACGCCACAATTATCAACTTTTGCCTTTAAGGGTCTGCCCCAAGACCCATCCACACCCTGACAACTCAGGACATTTACCGTCACCGCCAGCTGTTTTATGACTGCTGTAGGGTTGGTGGCCATTTTTGTGAGGAAAGAGGCCACAGGACATATTTTTGTGAGGAAACAGGCCACATGGGACATTTTTGTGAGGAAACAGGCCATGCAGGGCACTTTTGTGTGAAAATGGGCCATACGACATGCATTGGCTCCACTAAGGACCCCAGGGCAGCCTCAGCCCCTTGATGGCAGCCTCAGCCCCTTGATGGCCCAGCATCTTCCTGCCATTTCCTAGCACAATCCTTCAGCCCTGGGTCAGCTCTTCCACAGGGCTGGGACTGAGCAATGTTGGGCATACCTCAGAAAAGGGGCACCTTTTGCCATATACCAAAGCCAGGCCCACTGGACTAGGTGAGCCCTGAGGAAGGCTGAGGTGACGCCTGGGTGACAGACCCGCCACCAGCCAACGCTCAGTGTGAGGTGTCCCCACCGCCACCACAGCGGCTCCGGGCTGTCTGTAGAAGCCCTTCTTCCCCTCCCAGCCCGCGCCTGTTCTCTTTGAGCTGAAACCAGTGGGAAACCATCGGGGGAAAAAGCACATTTTGCGCGTGTGCGCCCGCCGCTGGTTGACTGAATCAGCTTCCTGCTTGCGCCAGTGCCCGGCCCACGCTGGAGCTGAGGTGTGCTTTCACTTCTGCCTGCTCACAGCCGCGAACAAAGCAAAAGCATTGCTTCTTTGCATATGTGGCGAGTTTTTCTAGTGTGTGTGTGAAGTGCAGTATCGTTTGAAAATACGCGGCGCTGGCAGGCCCGTGCTACGTGGCGATGCTCTTGCAGCAGCCACGCACCACAAAGCTGCAGAGAGATTTTCATTGCGACCCCAGTGCAAAAGCACCCCCAGAAATGAAACAATCTATAGGCACTGAAAACCTACATGTCAAAGTTGGATCTCTATACGACAAAATGATCAGAATTAGCTTTGACCCCATGTTAGAGAAGCGGTTTGAATCACTTAGGCCCAAGTCCTGTGAAGAGGTACCAAAGGGTGGGAGCTGAATGGCAGCACAGCACAAAGCTGATGAACAATTCACAAACAGATCAATTCACAAATGCCCCCATGTCATTTCAGCACCCCAGCCCTACCTACACCAACAGCACAATACGTAAAACGCTTCTGGAACAACTTTTATGTGTAACTGTGTTGCACATGGATGCTTTAATCTCAGTGGAAATAATCCAAGATGGAGAAATTTCATAACACAAATGCAAGTTCTTAACTGGGGGCTATCCAGTTTTAACTACCACCACACCAGATGAAGGCCAAACATTTCTGGAAAAATGGTCCACACTTGGCATATCTTGCTGTTCAGAAATGGAGTAAGACATGCAGAACAAAGGAAGAAAAATCAACATGGGCATGACTTCCTATCATATGGTCATTATATTAACATTTCTAAACCCACATTAAAGCAGTTCCCCTCAGCAGTGATGCTGCCTGTCCACGTCACCAGCAGTCAGAAAGGAGAAGACACAGCATGCAGTACTGATATTGAACTGTCACTGAGAGATTAACATTTTTTTAGCCAGGTACCTACTGCACACAGAGAAAAACGCCCCTATAATGCGGTAGTTCTTTTTTAAGAAAGTATGTTTTTCCTGTTTTCTCTCACGTGAGAGTAAGTTCCCAAGAGAGGTTATCGCATTGCCACTCGAGCTACGTGCACATCAGCCCCTGCAGCTAGCTGTCGTACTGAAACATCCAGACTTGTAGACCCAAGGCACAGGCACCAAGTGCTACCAGGCCTTGTAGACAGAGAAGGGCAAGTATGTGAATTGTTATCACAGGTTTGGTCATCAAGCTTGGACAAGAAAACAGGATGCTTGGTCCTGCTGCCTAGCAAGTAAGAGGTGCTACCAGCTGAGAGCACAGTCTCAGCTGGGTTCACTGTTTGAGGGAGGATAATGCTCAGCTCTGCTCCAGGGTTGGGGCATTGCTTAGTAAAAAACACCGCGATCGCTTCCTTACCTAACACGCTTCCATGAAATACATGTAATAGGGCATGAAAAAATGTTATACACCTGTATTCCTACACTCCAGCTCTGGTTTGGCTCTATTCCTTTGCCCCAAGATGCTTGCTAGGGACAGGTCTTAGAGGATGCCCTGTCCCTCCCTCTGAAGATTATCCACCAAGTTTCGTAAAAATCAATACACGTTAGAGTTCATCAATTCACTTACATGGACAATTCACAAATAGATCTATTCACTTCACTGGGAGCTGACAAAGAAATGATAGAGGGGAACGTACCTTGCATTAACATGACACTCTCCAAGCTGCCTTATAAACTAGCTAGATTAGCTGCCTCCTGAACTTTTGAATTAAAATACACCAACTTATATAATTTACTAGTAATAGAAGGCTTCTCCACAAAAAACAATCCATTTTGGGGACAACAAAGATATGCCCCGACTCTTGACATACACATCTGAACAGGTAGCAGTCTGCTAAAGGACTACCATTAATGTCCACTCACATTTAGAATACTTACTGGTTGAAGGCACAGCAGATTATATTGAACCACAGAAAGAAAAGCAGATGATGCCGCCTGACATCACTGCTGGATCATCCTTGTCCCTCCTAGCCCAGGAAGAGTTACAGTGTCTTGACCGCTGACAACAAAACCCGCTTGCAGAGTCCCTGCAGGGAGAAGGAGCCTGGCTGCACCACTTGTGGCCTCAGCCCCGAGGTCATGGAGGAAAAGGATCCAGCACAGACTCACCACCGATAAGCAGGGCTCACTCCTTCACCTGGCAGCCAATCAACCCCAAAAGCTATCCTGCTATTGTCCTAATTGCTGAAAAATCACAGTGCAGTGACCAACTGGTATCCACAAAAGAGTACTTCCAACAGCAATCATTTCCTATCGGATACGTGCCTGTGGCCCCACAGAGCACGTTGCTGCAGAGGGCAGCAGAATCAAATTTGATTTCATTTGTATATAGGCAATATTATCCCATTCAAATCCCAGTATTACCTTATTCTAAAAGTACAATAAAAGTTTACTAAGCAAGCATCAATTTGCTAATCTCCAAAGGCACACTTTCACCAAGTAGAGTAAGGCAGTACAGTTTCCTTAAGCATTACAGTAAATCCCAAAGCATTACAAAAAAAAAAAAAAAAAAAAAAAAAGAGAGAGAGAAACGTGACTTCATTATTTTTAAGCCATAGATTACAACAGAGATAACACTTTAAAAATTAAAAATACACTCATACAACTAACAAACCGTATCGGGTGCTGAGGTAGCTTTGATTTTACAGCCAGCTTGCTTATTTGCTACATCTGCTATTTTCCCTGGACTTCCTAATCACTCATTAATTTTATATCACCAATAAATCTCTCTACATCTAACCAGCACAGTATTATGTTACAGTAATATGGACTTTTGTCTTAAAATAATCGCATTCACAGCTGGAAATTCATTTTCTTCCTAACACTGCTGGAGGTCGCATTCAGGAGTCATTAAAAAGAAGAAGAAATCA